TGTGGCTAACGCTAGCTTTGACGGTTGTAGCAGTAGTAGTGTGGCTAGCGTTAGCTTTGACGGTAGTAGCCGTAGTAGTGTGGCTAACGTTAGCTTTGACGGGAGTAGTAAAAGGTAGTAAAATCTCTTTTTTTAAAGTCTACTTCCCTCTGTTATGTTGTTTTTTCACCCACCATTTATTTTGTAAAATCAATGTAGGATTTGGCTCCTTTCCAGCCGTACTGTGTTCCGTCTACAAGCCTCTGACACATGAAGTCACCATCCGCTCAACAGAAAACGAGATAACTGTAATTCTTGACAATTAAATGTTATTTCATTGATTTTTACTAAATTATAAATAATAACACGTAAAAATCTCAGAAACAAACTATTCATTTACATGTTGACTGTACAAAAAACAACAAAAAAACAAAAAAAAACAGTTATGTCCACTTTAGAAATCTCTATTTTTAAACTGTAATTCCTTCTTTTTTCTTTTCTTTTTTTAAATTTTTGAACAATTCACTCGTCTTTTATTTTGTAAAATCAGTTCACTACTGTCAGAATGTGGCTGCTTTTCAAACTAATTTATGACAGCGGTGGAACTTTTTACTAGAACCCTCTGACTCTGAAGCCACTCAACAGTAAATCAGTATTTATATAAAACATGGAACTGTAATTCTTTTTAACAAGTTACTGTTATTTTATTGATTTTTGCTAAATTATAAATAAAAATCAGTAAAATTCCCAGAGACAAACTGTTCATGTAAATGTTGACTGAAGCACAAAGCAGGAATGTCAAGAATCTCTTCTCTAAATGCTGATCTTTCCGGCTTGGCTGTAAAATTACAGAGTTTGCTGCGTTTAAATCACATAAACATCATTATTTGACGGATATTTTCTGCTCTGTTCGTCGCTATTTTGCAGTTTTTTAGAAGTTACAGCGTTTCGCCGTTATTGAACGTGCTTTTCTGGCCCCTAGCTTCCAGGTTTTTACCATTCTTTTACTGGATGTTCGGATCATCGGCGTCACCGTGGCCTTCAGCTCCACGACTTTTGAAGCTGAAACTCACCGAATGCTTCCACGAGAACTCGAGCGCTGTGATGTGAGCCGTGAAGCTGACTCGTCTCACCTTCTGCAGCGGTGACGGAGGACGATGGCGACGAAGGCTCAGGTGATGCTGCGGCCGTCCCACAGCTCGGTCCGCCGCCGTGTCTCTGTGTGGACGCCGCCGCTGCCGCCGCCGGCTTTATGTGCCTCCTGGCGGCCGCCCACGCCCAGGAGTCCTCCCTCGCTGTATCGCCTCGGGGCCCGGGGCTGCAATGTGGCCGAGCAGGGAGCTGTCAAGTTCAGCGACGTGTCCTGTTTCTGCCTTCGAGGAACACCTGTGGAGCAGCAGCACCGATCTGAGGCGAGCAACGGGACCCAATGTCTTCTGATGGCAGCTCCTGTGACGTCCAGACAAGTGCACGAATTAATCAGTCAGCCAACTCAAGTCCTGCAGTTGGTGCCTTTCATGGTGGAAATGTGTTATGTCTGGAGCATCTGTTCTGTCTACAGGTACTTTGTTCAACGTTTATCCACTGAGCTGTCTGACGATGGAGTTCTCAGCCCTCATCTTCTCCCTGTTTGTTGGTCGATAAAGCTGACAAGAGTCCGAGGTTCTGTACAGATTAAAGGTTTTACCAAACCAGGCTTAACCAGGCTTCCATGGCCTCCTGGCTCCGCAGCATCAGTTACCATGGAGACCTGGCTCGGCAGCATCAGTTACCACGGAGACCTAGCTGCGCAGCATCAGTTACCACGGAGACCTAGCAGGTTACAATAGAGGCTTCTTGGTGACACTTGAATCTCTGACTTTAGGCTCAGCAGACCTGCTGACTCATTGACTTCTCTTCGTCGTTCAGACTCTGGTGTTTCCTCGTTGCCTGTATTTATTTATTCATACAGTGTTTACGGCGGGAGGGTTACAGGTGTCGTGAGAACAAACATAAACTCGTACTTCAGACTGATAAACAGGTTTGTTGACTGTCATGAGGTCAGCAGTCGGCTGTGAGGCTTCAGCGCTTTAAAGCAAAGACACGGAGCAGTGAGATGGTTTCAAACCTCTGATCTCCTCTGACCGTCTGATCTCAGGTAGCATCGGTTACCGTGGAGACGTCCACCCCCAGCGTTAGACCTCCATAACCCGCTTCACAGTGCAGGACTCTGGACGGACGTGGAACTGATCTGGTTGCAGTTTTAAACATCCTGAAATCCCGATCGCGAGATGATTTAATAAATTAAATTAACTTCAGAAAGGAAAGAATCTGTTACAGGCTGAAGGTTCTAAACTGCTTCA